CTTGTTTTCTTTCAAACACATACAGAAGCTTCACAGAAGCTTCACAGAAGCTTTACAGAAGCTTCACAGAAGCTTCACAGAAGCTTTACAGAAGCTTCACAGAAGCTTTACAGAAGCTTCACAGAAGCTTTACAGAAGCTTTACAGAAGCTTTACAGAAGCTTTATAAAGCAACAATACATATATCAATATCTTAGGATATCAGTATCTTAGGATATCAATATCGTAGGATATCGTTCAGTATCTTAGGATATCAGTATCTTGGGATATTAATATCTTAGGATATCGTTCAGTATCTTAGGATATCAGCATCTTAGGATATCATACAGTATCTTAGGATATCATATAGTATCTTACGATAGCATACAATAGTGAAACATCTGGATAAACATACGGATAGTGAAACATCTGAGACAAGTGACGATATATATTAGAAGCATAACTCTGTAAAACGTTTTGAAGAAATAAATGTATCTTAAAACTAAAATCTTGTGCAAATTTATGCCCGCCGAGCCACGCGCCCGATTTTAAGTTACTAGATAATCCCTATTTATCCATAATAAACACTTAAGAGATTAACATTTTGCTTGTAATCCCATTAATGATTGTTAATAACTTTGGCGGTATACGTTTTAGAGAGTCACAAACGACAAAATTTCAATATATCTTGCATATAGTCTGTAATAACTCTCTGTTCTTTAGTTTTTTTTCCTGACCCAAGCTCGCTGGGTGAAATAAAAAAAATGTATACATCCACACGGGGTGGGCGGGTTAATCACTTTTTAATGACTCTGTAATATGCAAATATCGACCATAACAACGGCGTTGACACTGATTTTAACTTCGGTTTAGCAGTCTTAAACACGGTGAATACATCCCCACGGAAAACCAAGGATGGCGTTAAAGGAGTGGACATTCTAAGATAATCTAATAAAACCTTGTAACACGATGAATTCAAATACACCTTGTATACTCTACTTCTATTGTCATTTATGATTTCGGGGAATAGTCTGAATAAACCGGGATATTCTCTGCAGAATTCCCCTACCGGAATCTTTGCAAACTCCTACAAGTCAGGAATTTTCGTAACACAATTCTCATTGCGCATGCGTATAATATCTACGTCCCACAAGCATTACAGCAACTTTGGTAGAATATATATCGGGGACGTGTTAAAATTCACCCAGCTGGTTAGAAGGAATATATGTGAGGATAAATATTAGGAAAGTATTAAACTTTAAAAGTTTTCTTAAAGTGCTAGTAATCATTGGTCCACACTTTTTAAATACATTACAAGCGCGTGCAATTGGCATGCTATGATTGATATTGTGATGACGTCATGGGTGGTGCTTAGTGCACCACCCGCACCACCCGCGCCAGAACCCCTATTTTGTATACTACTCATACTTCACACCAGTAATCAAAGTATGGGCGAACAATAGCAGTATATATATCGAAGTGTGTGTATCTTTGTCAACGAAAGGTTTGACTCGACGAATAGCAGAGATTCCTGCAGTTATTTTTTTGCAAATATTTTCGGAATTACTTTTTCAAGACAAATGCTGGTCAACTATTACTCCAAGAGTTTTGCATTCGCAATAACTCGTTTAATTTGCTTATTTTCAATGAAAACATTTAAACGTGAATCAGAATTTTTTTAATCATTGCCTTTGAACCAATTAACATAAATTCTGTCTTAGCTACATTTAGACTAAGTTTATTGGAAATTAACCATTTTGTGAGGTTTTCCAAATCAGAATTTACTGCAGTTTCAAGGTCAATTATAGAATCTCCCGATGCTGTCAGATTTGTGTCGTCAGCAAAACAATCGAGGTTTTGTTTTGTTTAGACACTGAGGTAAATCATTTATATATAACACTGGATGTTTTATTAGTTTTTGCCAGGATTGTAGGTACAGTTCTTGTTTTAGGCTAAAAAGTTCAATTCGGAATTCAAAAGATGGACTTATAAGCAGGGTTAAGGATATACGTCGAAAAATGGCGACAGATTATGATCTTTGGCCCTGTTACGGGCCTAATAACTTCGTTCAAAAGTCAGCTGAATGAAGTAAACAAATGTTGACTTTAAATTATAAAAGACGTGGTTTAGTCCAGACTAAGGCAATGCAATAACACAATCAGCCAGTTAATCTCTTAAAATACCAGGTTCTCTATACACTTTCTACTTTATGCTGTATCATCACTATTGACATGGTCACGGCGTGTATAATGACCATTAGTATAAACTCACTAGCTGTCTATTACAAATCCGGCGTTCTGATTGGCTGAGCTACTAATAGTCTATTAGTGATAGACCACTAGTAGCAACAAGCAGCGAAGGGCGCGATAGTCAATGGCCGTTTTGAAGTACTAAAATTGATTGATTGATTGATTGATTGATTGATTGATTGATTGATTTGACTTTATTTAAAGAAGGTAAACACATGACAGTATCCTCGAAGACACTGATAACCTAGTGGCCATAGGCTTATAAAAATGGCCTAATTTTGGTTTTGGATTACAAAAAAACAAAGACTCTTTGAAACTGCTGACACATACGGTAAATATTTGTCTGAAAGTGACAGACGATTTGTTTAATATATGCCCTATATAAAGTTTGTTTGTTCACTGCAACCAGTTATATCAATCATGTTTTGCTCGCTAATCTGGTTTAAATAAATTATTACAAAGCCCAGTCGAATTGTAATCAGGACCCAGCGCTTCGACACTCCAGTCTAGTGTCTTCATCGGGGGTGATCTAAAGTTGCAATCATGACTTCTTAATACCCAAGGGATGCATGAGGTCACCTGCCAATGAGATGCCTGTATTCCACTGGCAAATAGGCACCGTCATTCCTATTCAAAGCATGATTACTCATATTTATATGCAACGATTCTAGGCATAGTCTTTGACCATAGCGATTGTTGTGGTAATTACTTTAGAGTTTTCCCACGCAATCTCATGTTTGGTGTCACACACATGTTCTGCTAAAGCTGATTTTCCCATGTTAAAAGTTGAAACAGCCTTTTGATGTTCTTTTAACCGTGTACCAAACTGGCGTTTAGACTGATCCAAATACCCTTTCCCGCAGTCACCGCATGGTATAGAATATACAGCATGAGTTTTCTGATTTGTTTTAACAGGATCTTTTGGTTTTGCGAAAATATGGCCTAAAGTCAAAGGCAGTCTCAATATTACTATTACTTAAAGATTCTCCAGATTGGTTCTGTGACACCTCGAATGAATGGAACTATTGCATAACCATAAGCAGAGGTATTACTCTCGGAGATATTTTGGTTCCTACAAACAGGTGATCACAGACCCCTGATGAAGACACTAGACTGGAGTGTCGAAACGTTGGGTCCTGATTACAATTCGACTGGGCTTTGTAATCATATATGCAAAATGTTTGTTTATATTCCAAGCAGAATCTTTGAAATTCAACAATAGTTTATAGTTATATCTAATCCTATTTTTTCAACCTTTTTAGTGTGTGTTTGGTTTAAGTATGTTTTTTTTTCGTTTAAATGTCGAGATTTTAGCCTAGTTTGTTTTTCACCTTTTTTGAGCTTTTTATCAAGTTTTGCGATTAAATTTTAATCTAAACTTTTGTGTATGTATACTAGATGATGGACATGGTTTACCTCCTTATTTTCCATGCAGATATTTTAAAGATTTTAACGACATTAGGATTCTTTTGCGTGCCTTTTTGTCTACAGTTTAAAATTTCGAACTTTTTAAGCCTTGTTTCCTTCTTTCCAATAGTCAAACATTGCATGTAACGATCGCATACTGTTATTACTATTTTACGACTTGTTTTTAACTTTTTTAAACTCATAAGTAGTATTTTTCAAGACATTCTCGGTAGTTCGCAACACTCAGCAATTGTCAACAAGGTCGAAGCGAAATGTCGCCGAAGAAAGCCATTTAAACGCTCATTAGATAAAATTCAAGTTAAAATTTCAGTTTTCTTTGGGTCGTTTATACTAATTACTAAAACAATTACACAACTCGACCTCGTTGTCTCGGAGCGAATAGTATATAAACTCAGTTTTGCCGTATTCGCTCATAGACAACTTGGCTTCGTTGTCTCAATGCTAATTAGAAACGTTCATTTTTCTACTTGGGAAATGATACTTTCACATTTGCGCCAAGAACCTTGAACGAGCCCCATTGGATGACATGTTTGAAAAATTCTTCCTCTTGCATCTGACACATGGTTGTAGACAAGGCATCACCAACACGCATTGCACGGAGATTTCTGTAAAATTTCTTCATGAACATCATAGTCGCACTGTCAGGAATGGCCCACAGAGCTGTAACCACAGACTTTGCACCAGCCATCAGAAATTCTCTTGCCAATCCAACAACTCCTTCGCTGCTGATATTTCCACAGGCAGTGTGGCAAGCACTAAGGACGACTATGTCTGCAGTAACGTTTAGTTTGGAGACGTCTTCAACCGTAAGACAGCTTGGTTTCTTAGTTGCATCAGTTACCCTGATAGAATTAGAGGAGATACACAATGTAACGTTTCTCGTAGCCCATATTCATGACCACATAAAGTCCGAACAATTAATCGCGACACCTATACTAACTACACACCCATATTAATTATTACTATTAGATCATACTGCTTGACGAGTTCTAAAACGTGTATCTTCCAGATTATCGATTATCTTTCAGATTATCGTGAATGTACAATTGGGGTTCCAAATATGTCTCTCAGAGACACATGCATCATTTTTCAATAAATCCTATTGCATATCATACATATATAAAAATATAAATATCCCAAGAAACTAGTAACCTATGGAAAAGTTGTAAATCGTTTATTATCACAAGTTTTTCAATGCCATAACTTTGGTCTTCGACTTATAACACCGTTCATGGTCTCCCAAATATTGGTTAAACAATTACTATGGGTTAAATTAAAGTAATATTTAGACTGCTTACCGTTCCTTTTCCGGCGCCAAAAACAAGCATTGTCCATCAATACTACCATGGCAAGCAAAATGAATTATTGGTGCTGACGGAAGGCGACATACTACTTCGCTACGTGTCGCCAAATGTCCGATCAGTGGGGTGACACCAAGCAGTCCAGCAATCATTTCTGCTTCTTGTTGAGCACATGGCAGTTCAGGGAGGTCATTGGATGGGTTGCCGACGATAAGTGATTCCGTCATTCGATCGCCGTCTTCTCTGGCGGACTGCATTCGTCTGGTGGAGTGAATGAAAGAATTGAAAGAGAATGCCTCAAGTAAGGTCACTTGGTCGCAAAGATATTTCCCATTCTTCAATCGTAATGCTGCATAAGGAATATTGAAGGTATTTTCTTGTGGAATGATCAGTAGCGAAGGTTTTCCTGTTGTGACCTCTTTCGTCATCTGGTTTAAATGATACTCGATTGGTTTCAGAAACAGCTCGCTTAACGAGAAAAATATTGAAAAGTTTGGCGAAAAGTTCTTTAATATGTTTGCGATGTTACTCTGAGTGCATATCCACACCGGGCGAGCTTAAAAAGTATGCCCGGCCACGGTGGGATTCGAACCTACGACCTTTGGAATACTAGCCCAATGCTCTTCCAACTGAGCTACGCGGTCAGGACGGTTCGACTAAGTGATATTTCGGAACAGTATCTAGTTCCTTCAATACCAATGTGTTCTAGTAATATGATTTTTTTTTCTGTGTTGGTGTTGTGTACTCAGGTGAATAATATGTTTGCGATGTTACTCTGAGTGCATATCCACACCAGGCGAGCTTGAAAAATATGCCCGGCCGCGGTGGGATTCGAACCTACGACCTTCGGAATACTAGCCCAATGCTCTTCCAACTGAGCTACGCGGTCAGGACGGTTCGAGTAAGACAAGAACACCAACTCCAACACAGAAAGCTCAGTTGGAAGAGCATTGGGCTAGTATTCCGAAGGTCGTAGGTTCGAATCCCACCGTGGCCGGGCATATTTTTCAAGCTCGCCCGGTGTGGATATGCACCCTATTACCCTCTATTAAGACGGGTTTCCACTAGCGAATTTTTCCTTTGTCGGCATCCATTTTGCAGCCCTCGAACAGTCAAAACCGTCAAATCTGAGGTCGGCAAAAGAGGGCCGACCTAAATCTGACCTAGGTCGGCACATCTCAGCGTTTCTTAAAATCTGTTCCACGTCTTGAAGCACTATTAATCACGCATTTACGAATCATTGAAATCGGAAATAACTGGAACGTTACCTCCAGCCGGAAAATTCGAAAGTTGGAGCCAAATTTTAACTCCAGAAGCGCGAAATTTGATCTTCAGACACCTGACGTATATGCACAATACCCGTCAGTTTTTAAACCTTACACCGTAGTGTGTTCAGTTAATCGAACTACGAATCGAATTCTATAATCGCTGACATTTTAACAGCTATCAGCAGCAAAAAAATTCTTACTTTGGTTGAATTAAGGTCGGCAAAAATTTGCATTTAGCCCGGCATTGCCGAATGCCGACCTCGTTTTCGAGGACTGATTTTGCCACGTCTTGCTGACGTAATAAGTGATACCGACAAAGGAAAAAGGTCGCTTCGTGCAAGAAAATTCGCTATTTTTGCCTCTTTTATAGAACAGTATAATAAGCAACAACAACAGCAGCAGCAGCAACAACAACAACAACAACAACAACAACAACAACAACAACAACAACAACAACAACGACAACGACAACGACAACGACAACGACAACGACAACGACAACGACAACGACAACGACAACGACAACGACAACGACAACGACAACGACAACAACCAACCAAATTTAATTACGTAATTATGATTTCAATAATATTATGTTTTTGGACTGAAAGAAGTGAAGATACTGTATTCGAAAGAATTTGCATTGCTGCATGTTTGGTTTCTTTTATGCATGCTATTCGTGATATTCGGTTTGAATTCAATTATTCAGGAGGTCAATTTTGGTTTCTTCAGTGGTTATCTTTGGCCAATCCAGTTTTGCCGACTGAGATAACAATTTGCCGATTAGCTGACGAGTGGGGGGTGTTCCCCCCCCACCCCGCTGTAGCGCCGCCCCTGACGGCTTCCACACCTTTGAACAAATGGTTAACAGTCGAAAAAATATGTCGAAAATATCAAAACAACAAGTATTCACTGCAAAAAGCCGAAATATTTTTATAAAAACCAGGGGGGGAGGGGGTGAAAATTGTGGCGGGCTCATATTTGAGCCTTGTTCAGTGGCAATTACGATGAATTTAGGGACCAGTAGTCATGGAAATGGCGTCATTTTCAATCAAAATCCGACATGTTTTTGCGGACACTTCGTTGACTGAACGAAGTATAGGAGCAGGTCCTCCAGTTATTATACAGCTCAGTGTTATAATATCTAACTTTAAATGGGCCCGCTGTGTGTCCAACGTAGGTTTCTTTCTGGCGGTTGTCTTCTCTCGTTACTGTGTCCTGGTACACAACGCTTTCGGTTAAACATTTGGCAGGGAGGGGGCAGGATTTTTCCTGGCGGCAATTGCACTTCCTATCGGGATTTTTAGTAGCCTTGGGCTGCTTGCAATCGAGTACGGTTCTGTTGTGCGCCGTAATGATATTGTGCACGTTGTTTATGTAGTGGATGGTTTGGCGGGAAACATTCATCAATAGCTTGCAGGAATTTGAAACCCGGAACATAAACATTCAACCGAACTGAGTAAATATATTTGGCAGTTGATACAATCCAATATACAATCCGCTGGAAAATTTTAAAGAAATATAAGGCCTACTCAAACAAAACAAAACAGAACAAAGCAAAACAAAACAAAACAAAACAAAACAAAACAAAACAAAACAAAACAAAACAAAACAAAACAAAACAAAACAAAACAAAACAAAACAAAACAAAACAAAACAAAACAAAACAAAACAAAACAAAACAAAACAAAACAAAACGTTGTAAATTATGCCTGCACGAAAAGTTTATTATAATTTACTATCCAAAATTAAGCTCTTTGAACTCAAGAAACAAACTAATATCCGCATGTAGGCACAGGAAGAAATTCCTGATTAGCAGCCAATAGCTCAGGTTACAGACATAGGTTTACCCTTATATTTTTATATAATAGCTCAAGTTTTATATAATAGCGCGATATCATCATTGATGTGATGAGTTTGGCAAGCTTAGTTTCCCATACGAAACAAATTTGTCGTGAACAAATGTTTTAAACGAAGTAACTCAAGTTTGTCTTTCATTTGCTCTACTTACGTATCGAGCACTCTATTCGTATGATTCGACACTATAATGTCAATATAGGCCTACTTATTGACATTCGCCTATATATATATATATATATATATATATATATATATATATATATATATATATATATATATATATATATATATATATATATATATATATATATATATATATTGACGTCAGAGGCAGCCTGAAATAGTGAAACTATTTCAAAACAAGTTCAAGAAGGATCTATTGCGTTGTCAAAATGCGAGTTCCTTAGTTATTTTAAAGTAAAACACAAATTCCAAAAAGAGAGGACATCTTGAATATGCAATATATGATTCAAAGCAAGACGCAGGTTGAGACTGTAAAATTTCGACTTTATTTCAAAGTCATGTTCAGACAGAATGAAATACAATACTTTACTAGAAATATATGCACCCAACTACCCCCTCGCCTAAATTTTCCAAACATTGTTTCAACATGAAGTATTCGTAATTACGCCAACACTGAACGTAGGCTAGCGTTGCTCACATCATGTTACTCATGGCAACACGATAATTGATTTTTTAATTTTTTGTACAAACCTGCAAAAATATATGAAATTTGAACACTTTTAAATACAGAACCATCAATTTCTAAAATATATAATGTAGGTATATTATTTTATTAAAAATGCTAGATGCGCGACCAGGATTCATAATAAAGTTTCTGAAACGTTCTCTGATCGTAAATTTTTATTTAAAGACTACAGTCTTCGACAGGTAAAGTGAAGACTACAGTCTTCGACAGGTAAAGTGATATTAAATCATATAAACTATTCTACGGATGTAACTACAAGGACAGTGGTTTACAATTACAATTACAACTATAATGACATGCAATGCTCATTTTTAGAACCACTGAGTATTTTAATAAAATACAAAACAAGAGAAACTCCAAACATCGATAATATTTTTATTTATCAAAAAAATAATAAAAAAATAATAAAATATTTTTGATAAATAAAAATGTTATCGATTTTTGGAGTTTCTCTTCTTTTGTATTCAATACTCATTGTTTATTGCATTGTTATTATAGTTGTAATTGTAAACCACTGTCCTTGTAGTCACATCCGTAGAATAGTTTATATGATTTAGTATCACTGTCGAAGACTGCAGACTAGCAGTAGTCTAGGACCTGTATATGAGTTTGTATGCATTTCATTTAGGACAGATAATCTCAACTGTTTTAGAGTAAGTTGACCATGACGGTCAACATGGTAACGCTGCCCGAACCCAAATCCAGGACGAAAAGCCCGAAACCGACCACACACAAAAACGACGCTTTCGCTATAGTGCTATCTACCAAACCATACAAGCTTTGGCTATTCTGAAGTGCTCAATGGTTCAGAGATGGCGCTTTAAGGGGTGGTCATTGGTAAGTGCAAAATGCCTAGCACTGATATTTCACAAGAAAATGACCATGCAATTATACTCATAGTCAAACGTCAATTTGTGGCTTTCAACTTCAGATAAACAGCAGTGAACCTATATTACCTTTTTTATCTTTTTTATAGAAACATAATTGGTGCTTATTTAATTATATTACTAGAAAATACATGCATGCAGAAACCCTCGTCTTGCTGACAAAACCATTTTATTTTCCGAACGTGAAGTATTTTAAGTAGTTGTCATGGTAACACGATAATTTTTTAAGAATATTTTTACAAATGAAAAATCCCCTATAAATATCACTTTTAATTACAAAATTATCCATTTCCTAAACATATATATGTTAGGTATGTTATTATACGTAATATAAGCTTGAATTTAAAGTAAAATTCAACCACAAACGCTTCGCAAAACGTTTTAAAATGTTCTTTTACTATAGAACTAAACTGCCTTTATCGTTCGAAATAAAATGATTCCAAATTCTCCCATGCAAATAACTTTGCTTAGTATAATAAAAAGTGTAATCAATAAAGAAACACTGAAATAATACGCTGTCTTGTTTCATATTTATACACAACGATCGGCTTTTAAAGTAATTACAGTAGGTATGTTATTATACGTAATATAAGCTTCAATTTAAGGTAAAATTCAACTACAAACGCTTCGCAAAACGTTTGAAAGTGTTCTTTTAATATAGAACTAAACTGCCTTTATCGATAAACTTTGAGTTCGAAATAAAATGATTCCAAATTCTCCCATGTAAATAACTTTGCTTAGTATAATAAAAAGTGTAATCAATAAAGAAACACTGAAATAATACGCTGTCTTGTTTCATATTTTATATACGCAACGATCGGCTTTTAAAGTAAATACAGCCGAGATTACAGTATATTAAAAGCAAACAATGCATCAATATTTAAAACAAACTTACCTTCGTTAACGTCGGCACTTTTACTTCCTTCTTTTAGCAATCCTCTTACCTTTATTTCATCAAAAATCCTTTGCAATTTACAAAATCTTGCAAAAATGAAATATATTTGCAAGAAATGAGAAATCATCAAATCATTTTCGCTGTCGTCAATCGTCATGCAGCCGTTATAATGCCAATTTTAAATTGGACCAATCAGTGTTGGCTATTCATTACAATCCGCTATATTATGAGATCAGTGAGGATGACCACCCGCCGAAACACGCACAGTGACCCACGCCCACGATGTTTGATAAACTTTAGACTTCGCTAATGCTTCTCTTCCCCGGGTGTAAATAGCCGGGGGGAATTAGTACCCTCACACGGCGCTTCGCGCCGTCGGTTTGGGGATCACTGTTTTGGTGTAAAATGGCTAATATTTTGTAACCAAAATAATAATTTCAAATGTGCCTACCTCCTGCAAATGGACGTATTTGGCCAAATTCTCCACTTTACTCCGCTGTTTATCGCAGTTCTGGTTGAAATCCTTCCAAATATGCAATTCAGCTCAAACATAACGGTATCAAGCACATTTTAAACAAGTTTTAACTGGGTTTCAAATACATCCTACCTGTTTAATGATTTTTTTCACGAAGGCTGCGTGAAATAAACAAAAACTAAATACAATCATACAAGCGTTTGTTTTATTTCTTGTAGCGAGAAATAAATACATACTATTACCTGTAATACGAAAATACAAATTAAATGTTGATTGTTGGTTTTATCATTATTACATTACACTGCGTTCTGCTTGCCTTTGCTTTTATTTTTGAAGTCTCCACCCTCCTGTCAGGTGCCTGTTACTTTGCCACGCGAGATTTGTACGGAATGTTTTGAAAGACTCGTAAGCAACATCTTACAGGGTGATAAAATACTGCATTTCGCCTTTTTTATTGTATTTTTATTTTAATACACTTAACAAAGGGTTAAATTTGTCATTATCACTTCTTGTAAGGCTTCGATGGAAGAAGAACGAGGCCGAAATGTGCACAACCGAACGGGATGACAAAATGGCGCCGAATTTGGACAAAGTTGAGATTTTACCTTGTCGATGGTTAAACATGTAGGATGTACTTGAAACCCAGTTAAAACTTGTTTAAAACGTGCTTGATACCGTTATATTTGAGCTGAATTGCATATTTGGAAGTATTTCAACGAGATCTGCGATAAACAGCGGAGTAAAGCGGAGAATTTGGCCAAATACGTCCATTTGCAGGAGATAGGCACATTTGAAATTATTATTTTGGTCACAAAATATTAACCATTTTACACCACAACAGTGATAATATAATTAAATAAGCACCAATTATGTTTCTACCAAAAAGATTTATGAAGAAAGGTAATGTAGGTCCACTGCTGTTTATCTGAAGTTGTAAGCCACAACAGGAGATAGGCACATTGCAGGAGATAGGCACATTTGAAATTATTATTTTGGTCACAAAATATTAACCATTTTACACCACAACAGTGATAATATAATTAAATAAGCACCAATTATGTTTCTACCAAAAAGATTTATGAAGAAAGGTAATGTAGGTCCACTGCTGTTTATCTGAAGTTGTAAGCCACAAATTGACGTTTGACTATGACTATTTCATGGTAATTTTCTTGTGAAATAACAGTGCTAGGCATTTCACACTTACCAATGACCACCCCTAAAAGCACCATCTCTGAACCATATAAGCACTTCAGAATAGCCAAAGCTTGTATGGTTTGGTAGATAGCACTATAGCCAAAGCGTCGTTTTTGGGTGTGGTCAGTTTCGGACGTTTCGTCCTGGATTGGGGTTCGGGCAGCGTTACCATGTTGACCGTCATGGTCAACTTACGCTAAAACAGTTGAGATTATCTGTCCTAAATGAAATGCATACAAACTCATATACAGGTCCTCGACTACAGTAAATAAAAAATTACGATCAGAGAACGTTTCAGAAACTTTATATTATTTGAGTTTCTATTGGAAACGAAACTGTACGTAAAACGTTTTTAAATGTGAATTGAAACTGCTTTTTGCCGATATTTAAAAACTTCTCAACTCGAGCTTCAACTTATTACTCGCACTTCGAAATGAAACAAATTTAATTCGTACAGGACGCTAATGAAAATAATTTGCTTTACTTTTTATCATGAACTTCTACAAAAGTTTATCAGTTAATAAGAAACTTTCGCAAACAATGCATAGGAAATACTTGAACATCAAGAACAAAGTATATATGATTAAATACAAAGTCATACTTAAACAATTGAAACAAACTTGCCTTTTACTTTGGGATTTCTCATACAATATCAATTCTTACATTAAATGTTTACGTTTAAAAATTGGAAAAAAGTTTTACAATTTGTTAAGTGAAACAATTTTCCAAGCTTTCTTACATGTATTTTTTAATATTTTTTGCCTTAATCTTCACTCCTGGCAAACAGCCATATCTTCAGATCAAGGATAACCACACACTCAACACCGTTGCTCACGCCCGCGATCGTTGATGAACTTTAGACTTCGCTAATGCATTCGTTTCCCCGGGTGTAAATAGCCAGGCGGAATTAGTACTCTCGCTCAGGCCGTGCCCCGGAACGGCGCTCCGCGCCTTTGGCTGGGGGACATTAGAGAGTTTTAGATTGACGTTCGCCATTATTACGGCAAACCGCGAACCGGTAGTCGACGTACCCGTTACAAGTTTGCAGTTCGGATTTTAAAAACGATTTAGATTTAGGCCTAAGGTTTTAAATTCCAAAATGTGAACTTAATCGGTGGGCAATAGCATCCCAGTATATATATATATATATATATATACTGGGATGCTCGAGAACATTTTTCACCTTAACATATATATATATATATATATATATATATATATATATATATATATATATATATATATATATATATATATATATATATATATATATATATGTTAAGGTGAAAAATGTTCTCGAGTGTGTATTATATATAATTTCCATACCCAGCGTAAGCAGAAAGATATATAAAGTCTGCCGCGGCTGGGTCTTGAACCCGCAACCTTAGAATTACTAGATCGACGCTCTACCAACTGAGCTACACGGTCAGACGCATTTAAGACTGGAAATTTATGAAATATATACTGAATGTAGAAGCAAATGAATACTGAATGTAGTCGTTTTTTAAGCCATTTAAAGCACTTGTAGTCGTGTTTTATCACATATGTGTGTGTGTGCGTGTGTTGTAAAGTATTCTATTTCATTCGATTCTGTCTGAGCATGACTTTGAAATAAAGTCATATTTACAGTCTCAACCTGCGTCTTGTTTTGAATCATATGTTGCATGTCTTGTTTTTTCGGAATTTGTTTTTGACTTCGTTTTTTTAAATTATCGGCTGGTCATGGTTATTAGTTATTTTAGCTTGTATGTTTGAAGCTATAGTCTAGAACCATGCACATCCATTTTTCCCAACGTTTCACTTGAAAACGATTTACCTTATTTTATTGGTAATATCCGATAACTCTTCGATTAGATTTCTTAAAGCTTTCTTTGAACTCGTTGCTGTCTTAGACGAAAAACGTGGTTGCGTTCCAGGTACTGGGCTATGTTTTGGTGTGGTAATCGATTCATTCGTTCCTATTATACTTCGACTGCTTTTTTCTTCCAGAGATGGGCCGGACAAATATTTTGAGCTAGGATTTGGATCCAGGACACCCTTGTCAAGCGCGTCCTCCATTGATGACTCCGTATGTTCGGTAACGCTTTGTAAATACTTTGGAGAAGAATCTACGTCGTTATCTTCCAACGGCTCTACTCCTCTGTACTCAATGGATCTCTCTGAATTCTCCCAGTTAACTGCCAATTTATGCATAGTAACACACAGTTTAGTGTTCAAAGGTTTCCAGTCGTCTTGTGACACCCAAAATACATCAACTATTCGGCCATCGTTTCCGATAAACCAACAATACACTCGACTTACGACAGTCAGCTGAGATAAAAATAACACGGCTGTATTGTGCACCTTAGAGATCTTTAACAGGTCCAGGTTGGGTTCCGATTCAACAGCATTCTCGTTTCTGTCGACAAGTTTGTCGTAAAAATCTCGAGCTCTTCCTTCTTCACCAATGACTAAAGCGTCTTTTGGGGCCTCCATTTCTAGATAAGCATACTGTAGGTACTGGTATGGTTTTGTCAGCTTGTTGTTGAAGGATATTTTGAGAAGGCTGTCCTTGACACTCTTGCCTTGGCGTTTGCATCTTTGAATCACTCTTTGTAGGCATTTTGCAGCATCTTTCCACTCTTTCCCGCGCATGTGCTGTAATGCCAGCAAGTAGTCTGGGCTGAATCGCAGCTTATCTGCCTCACCCCAGTGAGTACAAGGTGGGTCTTCTGATTTAAGAGCTTTCGTGAAATACTCCTTCGCCATACGTCTTTCTCCTTTAGCTTCGAATAACCTACCGAGGCAACAGTAGCCGTTATGAATAATTCTGGCGCTTTTTAATTCCACTCCGATTCTTAAACCTTCGTGAAAGTGTTCGGTAGCGTTGTCATAATCTCCGTAACTTTCCATAAACACCAAACCCATATTTAAATGAGCGAGGGCAACACTTTTGGGACTATTAATAGATTCGGCAATCGATAGACATCTCTGGATAAATACCAAGGCCTTTTTCTTCAGCTGGAAGGCTTCGTTACCGTCATACTTCTCGATCAAATGAAGCGCCGCATAACTAATGTTGTTCAACACCGTGGATTCTAAATCTTTATTCGTGTGATCAGTTTCAAGGAACGCAAGGCATTCCATGAACATATCATACGCTTTCTTGTTTTCTCCTAACAGTAGATATGCAGTCGCCGTTCGAGACTTACTTTCCGTCTCTATTTTAGCATGACCAATTTTTTTAGCTAATTGCAAACATTTGTCAAAAAAGTGCAAGCTCTGTTGTACGTTAAAAAGGCGCATATGCGCATCACCAAGATTAATGAGGGCCTTAATTTCAAGTATTTCATCATTTGCTGACTTTGCTTTCAACAGAAAATCCTTTGCATACCGCAAAGACGCTTCATCTTCGTTACGTTCACGAGCAATTTGGGACCGCGTCAATGATATGTTGGCTTCACCCAACTTGTCCGCGGTCTCATGGCAGTGTAGCTCATATGCGTCTAAGTGCGACAGCGCTTTCTCGAACGAGTTCTGATGGCCGTAGTTTGTACCAAGTAAGTAATCGGCATCCGCTCTAAAATTCTGAACGTTCAACTTGTCGGCCAAATTTAGAAGCTTCTGGGCGTACTCAATTGATTTTGGATAGTCGGTGGCTTCAAGGTAAAGGTAGCTGAGTTGTTTTACCGATCTATCTGTAATTGAGTAAACTGTTGCGTGAGGTTCTCTGGCTGGAAAATACGAAGTAATGTTTCAAGTATGGTACAACACTCGTTCAGACAGCAAGAGAAAGAGCAAATTTTTTTGACCATTTCTAATAGTGTACTAAAACCAGGGGTTGCTTCAAGAGTAGCATCATCAAACCGAATTCCAGAATGACCTGAAATAAAATCGAATGAGATCTATAAAACAAACAATCTATATTGTTATATGCGGAGTTTCAAAATTCGATTTCAAGGCTGATTGTCGAGCAAATCTTACTCAATGTGGAAATGGTCTACCAGCATTGCTGAGAAATTTATAATAGAAAAGCGAGAGTCAGATAGTTAAAGCTAGGTTAGATTTTGCAAACCTTCCATGGTATGGTTCGGAATTTTCATATCCCGATATCCTACGACATGTCCACCCGCGTTTTTTCGCTGGAAATGCAGATTTTTGGCAAACCGCCGAATTTATGCCAATTCAGCGCCGTCTACATCGAGGCATTTTTCAAAGAATACTTGTCTTAATATAGATCAAAAGTATTATTGCTGACGCAGCGATCGAGCCGAAAGCGAGCGTGCAAGTCAGCAGTTCTAATTCGTATTGGGCTCTGAAAGGAAGATTTTACTTCCGTTTCTCCGGCCAGAATGCACTGTTGTTAACCGACCAGAATGCATTGCTGTTAGCCGATAACGATGCAGTTCTTTTGGTGTATTTTGTATTTCATTGTATGCGTAGTCTGTTGATTTCTGGCTGGTATTGCACTAGATATACTGAATTTGTTTATTACAAACAATTTATAACGCTTAGAATACGAATTTATGCATTTGTGCTCTTCGCCTTATTTTCTTTTGTCTTTTCTTATTTCATTAAGCAGTAAAATCAACATTGTTTTTGCACGTCTGAAAGCGTTCATTTCAAGCATTAAAAGCGAATAAATTATTGTCCATCAGTTTCACTTTGCTATAATTTAAACAGTGTTTAGGTTGTAGAACTTCTGTTTCACTATGATTTGACAATAAGTTCATGAACAGTCCGGCCGGCAACTGCCAACTATGTTTTATAGCATGGCGGTTTAAAAGAACGATGCTTTGCATGCTATTTCATGGGTTAATTAAATGTGCTTTGGCTGTCAAAAAGCACACTACACTATATTCAGTGCATACACAACTTAATTTAATTTATATGCATGGGCATTGTTTAAGCATGCAACGCAGCCAGGGGCAAGTTGACAGTAGGATCGTGCATGGGATTTAAGCATGGGCATTGAATATTTTTTATAATTGATCATGCTTTTGTTATGTTAGGCATGTGTCGAAACATTAAAAACAATGTACTCAACTCTACAGGGCCGGGTGCACCAAAAAACCTGGAAACTTTTGAAGTACAATGTTTTTAGAATTTGCATGATTCAGAACTAATTGATCCCAAGCATGCGTAAACACAATAGTTGACCCATTCGCAGTCGAGCAGATAATTAGTTTTCTGCATTACAAATAACTTTTTGTTATTCTAATTTCTATCAACGCGGTTAGGGACCGGTCATTATTTATGGCAGGGGTGGGGGCCGAAGAGAAAGTATAATGAAGCCGGAAAAAATCATTACCTCACCTTTTTCGAAACAAAATTTCTAGCTACCCCACCGGTGGAATGCCAGAAAATTTTTTTACCCCACCCAAACCTATTTTGTTGCAATGTCAAAGGTTCAGACATAAAATATGTAATGAAACAGTTTAGTATTTTGTATGCGTATTACTCATCAAGGTACAAAATTGCCCTTGATGAGTAAGATCATCTGCTGTTAGAGAGTAAATAATAATTATTATAGGGTGCTTTGACCACAGTGGACATTATAATTAAAAGGGAATAAGATTGATTGGTAATACTTGTTTACCAATATCCCTTGCCCCTTATTTCTTGTGGAGTAATTAAAGCACACTAACAGTCATGCCTTTATTTGACTATGCTTTAGATTATGGGTTATCCCAACAATAGCAAGGTACTATATAAAGAATTATAGGTGAAATAAAATTGAAATAGGAATGGGTTTTTATAGTTTGTATTCAACGCTATATTCCCTTTTCACGAGATAGTGCAATGCTAGTCCCATAAACATATATTAACCATATGCTTCAATATTTTAGAACACTAACCGTATTTCACCACCCTATCTCTTTCCCACTTTAAAGTTTCACTGTATATAATTTGGTTTCTTTCACATTCTTGCATTTCTTTATTAATTAAAATGCAATTTTATTTTGAAACAGTTTCACAAAATATGTGCTCACCCATGATTGCAACTATCTAAATTCTAAAATTTCCTCTGAAATTCCTTTAATTAATATTTCCTTATTATAGACAATCACATGTATTATCACGGAATTTTAAAGGAATTCCTTAAGAATTCCCAAGGAATTCTTGAAGTTTATGAAATCAATTTAATATTTTAATTCGTAAACAATACAACGATACTAAAGTATTTGTCCCATGTGAGAACATCTGAATTTAGAAAGTTACTGTAAATGAATGAGAAAAAGTTGCTGTTATACAGTGTGAAGATAAAGATATTCATCCGAATTCCAAGTATGATTATATAAACAATTAAATTAATCTGTAAAACGGGTAAATAGATTTCTCTTATTTTACCCATGTATACATGATCTGCTAGTAAAGAAAAACAGCTAGTTGCCAAAGACTAGAGTTGAACATATTGTGAACTAGCCATTGGAATGATTCTCCAGATTCACAAGGGGAATGGGGCATATTTCATGATTTGCTACCGAATTGTCCACATGGTTTACAAGCACATACTGGATATAAATATTAGTTATGCAGTATCAAGTGTAGATGCCTAGAAATTAAATCCTGAAAATTTAATAGACTGTACATATACTTTTTGAGATATGTAATAAGAGGATGTTTATATGGGGGTGAGGCTGGATGCCCGGGGTTAGGGGCTACAGACTTAAGGTCACTTTTCCCGAAGCAAGATCTCGGGCTAAAGGGGCGGGATCTCGCTTAGCTATATAGCTGGGCCCGCTCTTTACCCATATATACACAAGGTGAACTTTAGTAAGAAATAACAACAAAGGCAGGATCTCGCCAAAACTGGGCCAGCTTGGGTACCTGGGTTGGCTTGCAGTTACACCATATAAACAGCCCCTATATATAGGCAGTATATATTTTGTCTGGTAATTGGAGTCTTTGGAGATTTTGTGTGTAAATGAATATAAAAATGACCCTTTACGGGTGGGTTGAGGGGGGTGTTTCTGTCAACATTTTGGAAAGCAATAACATTTTATTAAAAAAATAGAATAATCACATATATTAAACTCTGATAGTAGTATATATTGTATTGTGTGTGATTAAAGTAAGGTTATTTTTTCTACCCCACCTCTGCATGCAAGGATTTTTTGGCCACCCCACCTAAAGCAACTATTATTTTTCAGTTACCCCACCATTTTCTTTTCGGCCCCCACCCCTGCCATAAATAATGACCGGTCCCTTAGTTAGAATGTATTTTCTAATCCCAGGAGCAAAATAAGTAACACATACATTGAAATGCTGGTAAGCAGCAGAATTATGCAAATTATAGTGTTTGCAGGTTCTTTGATACACCCTGTAGTTTTCGAAGTAACGTGGCTTTAATTTGACGTCCTTGGATGCAAGTTTTGCTCCATGACAATGTTGTTCGATATTCAGTTCTTAAACGATCGACTTTACTTCAGTAAAATCAAAAGAAAGGCAATTTGGCGAAGACGTATATTCACGAAGTAAAAGCGAAGTAAAAATAAGCGAAGTAAAATATCAGCTAAGCACTTTACTTTACTCTTTCTTTTGCCTGGTTCACATATGCCTACGGTATACCTGCGCTATCATTGTTCACAGCTTTTTAGAGCAGTTGTTGTCAACAGCCCCGCCGACATACCGCAGGTGTAAGTACGTATATGTGAACGGGGCTTTTATGTTCACTATAGCCATTTAAAATTCCGTGCTTTATCAGATAAAACATTCGAGCTGCGCTCATGTTTTAAATAGTACATACCGGACAGTCCGCACTCACTGTACAGTTGTGGTCTTGTGACTTTTGAAGTATATGTGTGGTCTTTAATAGTGATATAGTGTATCGTTGTTGTGTAATTAAAAGCATTGAATAATCTGTGTGCTCTTAAAATAATTATTGGCTGATATTGTGGTCTATATTGGCTGATATTGTGATCTAAAGGTTCCAAAAATGGGTGCAAGCAACCTCGCAAGCCAGGGTCTTTTACCTACGCTCGGGCTCCGGCAAAGACCCTGGTTCCCTCTGGTCACGTGACCTCCTAAAAATTAGGACAACAAGAGGTCCTAGGGGAGGGTGGTTGAAATGTGATATGTTGTAATTTCCAACTTCCGGTTAAATGTTGTGTTTGCAAGACCCGCCGAGGAGTGACTGTAGAAAAGCTACGAGAAGTGACTTCAACTGTAATATGCAAAAACATTCAAAATGCATTATTTTTCTTATTTGTTTGCAGTTTTCTATTATAAATATTTTGTATGCAAACACTATTTTGAAGCCCAAGTACTTATTTGCTTAGAAAAGCTGTCCTTTGGCGTGTATATACTGGAAATTTTTCCGATCGGTAATATGGCGAGTCGCTAAATTTACCAGCTTTTGCCTTTGATGCTTTTCGCTAAAAGAGCGTTAGAAGAACGTCCAACTCATGGCGTTTGTGTAAATGAGTAATGCTGCTCGTTACTGATATATCGCCAACGCGACTTTGATTAACAATCCAGTTCGAAAATTATGTGTGATAAAACTCAGAGTATCAGCAATAAATCGTTTTTTCTGCAGCCATTAAAATGTGACAACGAAGAGATTGATTGCGATATATAGCTGAACTTGACCAAAAGACAAAACTAATTCTACATGTTATTTTTCAATCATCCATTATATTGTTATCTCAATTTTGTTCACTTTATGCCAAACGTAGCATATTAATTGTGTGTTGTATTTTATAACGTACCAGTCGTTATTGCATGACTGCTACAGCATATAAACTTGACCGAAGGCACATAAAAGCGGAATCACTTGGCTTGCATAATTGCTTTGAGTTGGTTGCAAATTCTGACCGAAAGATATGATGAGATCATTTGCGAAAAGGCATTCAGATACAGGCACTGATATTAATGCCTTGGAGGACATTTGCAACCTTATGCTGTAGTGTATGCAAAACACAATGTTTATGTGTTGAGTGTAGTTTAGATACGGAAAGGGAATGATTTTACCTGATTAGACAAATATTTTGCGCCTGTGAAATATTTTTGACTTTGTACCAAATAAATAAACAATTAATCACAAATTGAAATCATATAAACTCAATTTACTTCATGGACAGTACAAAAACCCATACAGCAGTGCCAGAACAAAATTCTAAAATATACAGTATACTGTAACCATATAGCTATTTCAATCAAAGTTGACAAAGACAATTGTCAAATGTACAATAGCCTGCGAACAGGCTCTCAAGCTGAATTGAGAGCCTGCATCGATGACTAATGAATTTGAATATCTGCGTCTCAAATCGTGACGCGAAATTCTCATTGGTCAGATGCTATAATTTATATGTTTCCGCTGAGCTCTATATATGTCAACTGCTGAAGCACTATGCATAAAAAAAACACATTAACTGCTCAAATTGGTCTTGGCCGTCTTATCTCAAAGCTCGAAATGTTCTGTTTTGTGAAAACAGTATTTAAAACATTTGAACTTTTGCTTGAATACCTTATATTTCGAAAAACAGTATAAACTGTACGGTCTAAGTTTAGTTTGCACGGTCTAAATTTAGTTTGCACGAAAGTTGTAAACAACACCATATAAGGATAGACATTCCATATTTGGAAAAACGAACGTTACGGGGCAGATATTCAAATTCATTAGTCATCGATGCAGGCTCTCAATTCAGCTTGAGAGCCTGTTCGCAGGCTAGATGTACAATAATATGAGTGCTATATAAATGAATAATGGAATAATGATAGTTTTCAATAAGTTTAACACCTCAAATATATTTTGAATACCAATTTAATTTGTATTACTATGAGGCTATTGATGTGTTAAAATAGGATATTTTTAGCGTTCAATTGTACATTTAACTACTGTTTTTGACACTAACCTTAATTGTAGGAATAGCTGCATTATAATATAGAACAAGTGTAAATTGCATGTGCATCTGTTAATCCTTTCAAGCTAGTAGTCTTGGTAGCCTGTGCTACAGCCATACAAATCATTGTTGCTTATAATAATTCCTCTTTATCTTCTGATGTGTTCACTGGTAAGTGTTTGGTGAGTGTTCCTCTTGCGTTTGTTTAGCTATGCCTATAGTCATATGCTGCGACAATTTGTCTATAATGTTGCGGCTAATGTATCTGATGATATATCTGCGAAGAAACCTTCATGAAAGTGAGTTGTTTATCATTTCTGCAGCCTGATATCCCTCCAGTCGCTGTACTTTAATATTAAATAAGCATTCGATTGACTTCACTGTCTTGGGTGTTTTTTTGGCCACCATTCTTTTAATTTAATGTTAATTTAGGAAGCTAGATTAGAAAATCCGTCATTGATCATCACACTCAAGAGTTTCACAATTCACAAATTCTGCGATACGAAGCAGGTTTTTATTTCGCAATTCAGCTACCTCTAAGAATAGGTTCGGTTGTAATACTTCTTGTCGGTAATACTACCACAAAGGTGGCACTTGCATTCCGAAAACAAAGCGGACTTCGGATAAATCATCTTTGGAGTTTCCTTTCGCTGTGCCATAGAGTTGAGAGCTACTGAATACTGTACTTTGACTTTGTATAAGTGTGCATTCGAACTTTATTTTCTTTGCGTTGATAGATAATGGCTCCACTTCAAGGTGTAAAACAGACCTCTAGCCATGCACATTATATCATGTAGGTGTAAAAAGCTTTCAAGCGGTGACATATTTCATAAAAGATAACACAAAAACCGACAAAACCCAAAATACGGGTTATTACAGAGCGTAAATGGCCATATTTTTCATAGGAATAGTTATAGTTTTTTCGTTTTCGCTCTTGAATTCCCCCTACCACTCCTCCCTAAGTGGCGAAGAGGCGCCAATTCGAATTACCCCTAAAATCTGGGGGTTCACGTGACCAGAGGGAACCAGGGTCTTCGCTGGAGCCCGAGCGTAGGTAAAAGACCCAGCTTGCGAGGTTGGGGTGCAAGTTTCCATACTATTGTCGTTCTGATGTCACAGTATTAGAGTAACTGTAGGATAGAAAGATTAAAAAAAGTTTATGGTTATATTCTCATGTTTCGCGCACAATAAAGCCAGGGTTAGGGATGGGCTGTGATTACGGTCAAGATCAAAGATATACATATTTATGACCGAAACAAGGATTTATTCATATTTACAATAATGACGTCACAACGATTAAGTTAGTGTTGAGCTTACTGTTAGTTACGATGGGTTAGGAGCTCACGAGATTGTATTTAGGGACTGGTCATAAAGTAACCGCTAGGGTGGGCTGGAGGTAAATCACAAATTTTGCCAATAAGTTTGGTGACCCATCTTAGGATGTAGATAAAAATTTCAAAGCCCATCCAATCTTACCAAATTTATTTCATGACCCACCCACCCAATCTAAATTGGGAAAGTACACTTTTATTATGGAAAATACTTGTAGGTATGAACATATATATTCAATACAGTGCCGGTGTACCGGGTGGCCCAAAAAAAAGTACTCCTGTTTGATTCGTAATAACATCTAAACAAGTATAGCTTTTAAAGAGAAATAACTTGCATCAAATAGAGGAAGGACTAACTTAGACTTTGATATATTACAGTTGTATTTCACTTAATAATTCACGAAGATATTAATCTTTAAATTCGGGAGGATATTTCTGGATGTGTCTGAAATATGCAAAATCGGCGTATCAAATATTAATCAAGATTTGCCCGACTGAAACATGCACTATTACCAGTAAATAAATGACACTTGACAAATTGTTTATTATGAAACAAAGTATTATTATATCTACAAAATACAAGCAAGATTCATTCGTCCGAAATTCGCGTGTGTTCCTTATTTAAGAATACGAAAAATTTAAGCGCCTGCCTTCCATGGTCAGTCTTTCATGTACATTTAAGTTTGCAAAGACCTAATATTAAATACTTGCATAATGTCGAACGTTCATATTTCAGGAAACAATGAGCTAAGACTTACATGTAAGATGT